ACACACACACACACACACACACACACACACACACACACACACACACAGAGATACACACACACACACACACACACACACACACACACACACACACACAGACACACACACACACACACACACACACACACACAGACACACACACACACACGCGCGCGCACACACGTGGGCTGGAATGTATGAAATTGCACCCCTATGGTGTACGAAGCGTTTCGTCTTCATATTTATATGGCGAGCGGCTAGAGAGTGGAATTCCCTACCTGCGGACTTGTTCCCCGAACGCTATGACTTGGACCTTTTCAAGGCGTGAGTGAATAGAGGCATTATTTAGGTGTGCATGCTACATCGTCGACCTCATCATCACTTTCCATCAGATGAGATGGAGGTATTTGACCACACTTATTTTATATATAAAAAAACCACTCAGAGCTTTAAATTACAAAGATTTGTGGGGCACTGCCACTGCGTTCGCTACCCTGAGACATAAGTTGACAACCTGTCCCTGTGTCCCTGTGACTGTAATTTGACCAGCACCCTTACCGTTCAAAACCACAACGCAATAATGGTCACTTTACTGCTAACTGCAGCAGAAATAAGTAAGGTGGCAGTACTATACTGGACAAATTTTTCACGAAGAGCTCTTCAGCTACTAACACAGAAATATCTAGATTATTTCTATGGCTACTAACTAAAAAAATTTGCCGAGCTAAGAGTATTAGGTAACTATTTAAATAAGGTAGCCAATTACTACGATGGGTCCCGGATCAATAATGCCTATTGATTATGACTTTGGTTTTATCCAAGATCACACCGAGACCAGTCCGCCGCGCCGTGAGATGGAAATTTACAGCAGCTTCAGAGATTTTATAGCTGAAATAATATTCGTAACATAAATGTCAAAAAAGATTTCAAATAGACGTTTTTAACGGTTTGTGTCTGCATAAAGTCGTAAAAATCATAACAACTTTGTCACGTACAGCAACCGCTCGGCAGTTGGTAGCCTCCCACTCAGCGCATCCACCTTGTCCAACGCAGCACGCAGTTTTCTTGTGCGTCTTCTGGAGCGCGATCCCCGTGTTCGTATGAGAAATTTAAGGCAATTGCAGCAATCAGCTTTCTATATGGGGTACAACTTCGAACATGTGAAAAATATGAAGGTAACATACGAAACCTATTCATTTTTTATGTTGTATAACTAAGAAATGGATTAATCAAAATAAGATTCATTATTTTCTATGGTCAATTATTACTGTTATCTACTTTTCTGCCTAAGGCAGTAGGTAACTACCTAACTTGACTAAATAATAATACCTATCTAATAAAATGTCTTATGTCTTGCAGGTGTCACCAAAGACGATTTTGGAGTATCATTTATCGAGTACAATACCAACATCTTTATCGGCCGACATAAGCGATTCTAGCCGCCGAGTTTTTGTAGCTTTCGATCAGCCACAAATTTTAATTTAATTAATTTCAATAAGTCACAAATTTTCAAAATGCTTCTTTTTCTGGTTTGCAATATTGGTTTATGTTTAATTGAGCAGTAATTATGTAAAAGAATATCTATACCCTTGAAACTTTGCTTTTGTGGTATTCACCTAACTGCCGATTTACATACATTTACATAATCTCGCAAATCTACACATTTCTACCTAAAAATATATAAAAATTGAACCTTCTTAGTAGGTAGGTAGTAAATTTTTAGCTGTTTTATGTTATAATCAATTACAAAATAAAAACGCGGAAACCAAAATCGTGTTACAAATACATGAAGTTTTAAAAAAAAAATTAGGAATCTAGAAATATATGCTATTAGTTGTATTGCCACATTCCAAGGTGCCATAGTTTATATCCAGTTAAATATGTAAAAATATCTAAAAACTTATATCCTACATAAACTTTTCTTTGTAAAATACAACGTCTAGAATATTTGAAGAAAGACAATAAGTTAGATGCAATGGTTAGATGTTTTTCAAAGTCAAAGTCAAAGATTATTTATTCCATAGGTAAAATAAATTTACACTTGAAAACGTCACATTTAAGCTACTGCTCGTTCTCTACGCTGACCTCTCTGGGAAGAACGAGCAAGAAATTCTAGGGATTGCTCTTCTCAAATAAACTTAAATGCTATGGAATAACACTGAATCATATTTGTGTGGAATCTAGACTCAAGTTGTCTTTCCATACATCTTTACCTAACACATAGTCTTCAATTTTGTAATATGACTTTACAATGAAATACTTTTAATGTAAGTTTTAACTAAATGATAACCTTAATATATGCTCCGAAATCTTATTGTAAAAATGTATAGAGTTCCCCATAAAATAATTATTTACTTAGTTAAACGAAATCGTGGTACCATGAGTTTGGATTTAGCTCTAAGGTTAATATTACGGATATCTTTTTTCTTATTGAAATTATGTATATTTTTACGGGCATATAAAA